ATGGGAAACGAGTCTCGATAAATCAAATAAATACAAGATTGTAGAAACGGTTAGAAAAGAGATCACATTTGAGCGTGGGATTTTAATCCAATAATATCGAGCCAGTCACGGTAAATGTACGTTACGTATCAGCGGATACGTGGATCGAGTATCAAATCCCTCGACAGAACGTGGATCAATGCGGCGTCTGACTGGTTCCTGAAAGTTTTTCCTCGTCAAGGGGAAAGGCACAATTTCCCCGGACAATAAGATCGTAGAACATGATGACAGCGTTAACGGAATACGGTAAAAGGTGCTCAGACTCACAGGGAGACGTTACCTTTCGGTACAGGGAACGCAATGTCAGTAATGAATTGCGGTTACGCGCACAATTTTAATACCATTAATTTATCCCCACGATACCTGACCGAGCCGCTAACGAGATCGGCGGCTAGCGTTAATTTTCTTGAAACAGTTTCCCCTCTGCGACGGAGAAATTGCAAAAAAAAAAAAAGGAAAAGATCAGAGGGTGCGAGACTGCGAACGAGGGAAAAATAAAAAAACGAGCCGCGGTGCGGTCGAGGGGAAGAATGGAGACTCGAGGTCAGGCAGAGCCGGGTAGCAGAGACGCTCGCTAATTGCTGTTAATTAGCTCGTTCATGTGAATTATGCATAATGAAAAAGAGCGATTGCGCAACCCTGGGTAAAATGAATTGAGGCCATCGGTACGCATCCTCGATACATTTCGATGACCGAAAATAGATTCTCAGAATTTATGTTTTTAAGCATTGATACCTGGGCTCAAGTATGATTAATCGTGCAAGAATTAAATTAGTTTAAATATGACTGCTTTTTATGAGGACGAAAGTGGCAGCTGGTAAATTAAAACAGTGCACTGCTTGCACCTCGAACAGTAACGTTCGCCTGGAGTTTCCTGGTTGCTGGTATACGCAGAGGAAATTCTGTTTTATCCACTGCAAGTTATACGAGCCGGTTTACCTACAGCAGCAGTCGCAACCTTTTACCAGCTTCAAATACCGCAACCCGTTACTTTACCGACGTCCCACCATGAATAGATCAATACTGTACGAACGATCAATACAGTCCTCTGCAGTTTAAAAATGTCTGTACGCAAGAAAAATGTTCACGTTTATCGGTTAAAAGCTTTTCCAAGCCTTTAATCACGCCGCTAGACTATTTTCTCCGCATTTACTCGAGCGATTTCTACGAAGCTTGTAATCTTCCCTCAGACGCGATAAAGGCAAGCGCGCGGGAGAGGATAATATACGGCGCGAGAAGACGAACGAGTCGTGCAACGACGTGGGCGGACCGTCTCGCCCCCGCAAGACTCGACGAACGTAAGACTATGAGAAGAAGAAAGAAGCCCTTTCAGACCCCGCTTCGTCTTCTTCCTACGATTCACCTTGCGCAGCAAAGCGAACAGTGAGAAGCATAACCCGAGCTTAACGTAGACACCAAGATAGACGCGTCTCTTCTCGAAGAACCACGTGCACGGTTAAGTCTAAAGAAAGTCTCACTTGGCGGATGCTCAATGTTAACCTTAGACACCCAGGAGGCACTACTAAAGAGTGATAGTGCCCGTGTAATCGATGGGACAGCGAATGGGGCTCAAAACAGTCAGTAATCGCTGTTTTCGTAGGAGTCAGAAAATTACATAAAACTTTTCTTGTATCTGGCAACTGAAACTACAACTTTTATCTGAAATATTTTTCGCTAGCGTCAAAAGTTTACGAGTATTTGACGAAAAACAATAAAACAGTTTATTGCAAATTACTCGTTAACTATTGACGGTAGAAAAAAATGTTTCACACGAAACTTGTAGCTTTTCACGGTACCTACAACTTTCGTTTCACATATTTCTCACTAGCAATTATTGGCAAAAAACGCAGATTTTGAGAACCCTTTAACAAAATCTCGGAAAAATTATTTTTTCTCAAAATTTCGAAAAATGTTTCAAATAAAAATTGAAGCTACTGCTATTGCCTGAAAAAAAGGTCGTACACAATTTTCTTCTATCTCGAGTAATTCAGGACTAATCGATTAATCAGCTCGTTCATTGCCAATTATTCCTTAACGAATGGAGTTAGAAGAAAATTGTATAGAACCCTCCTTGTATCTGGCAACTATTCAGCACCGACAAGTGTTTTGCTTCCTATTTCTTACGTCGGTGGCAATATATTCTAAAAGACGTCAAAAATTGCAGACTTTTACGACACAATGCCCCGTAAAGCTGCTGTTCTTTAATAATCTTAGACAACAAACTCTATCTCCTACATTTTCTGAAACCACCTAATCCATAAAAGACTATACAATCTATATTTTCTATACATATTCCACTGGAATAATAGATATAGAATCGTTTTAAAGGGCAAGAGTGATCGACGAGATGAACATTTATCTAGTACAATGAAATCTCAACTCTGCCTCTCCGCGTTCGGCGAAACGAGAATAAATTGGGAAGGTTTCCCGGGGAGACGAGCCTGCCTCGTCATCCGGGCACGTGCTTGCTCGTTCGCAAACCGGTTTTCGAATCGCCACCGCTTGATCCGGCCCATCGGATTTATCCTTCGGGGCCGGGTCCACGATCGATTCCTGACGAATTATCGTCGCCGATCTCGTCCGCAGAAAAACGAAAGGGATATATGCGCACTATACAAGGCCGTCTTTTCAAAACGGTTATGTAACGTACGAATGGTACACGCGTTTCGTTTTATAGAAAATGTGCCTGCTGGCGCGATCGGAGCACGTTTTCAGGGAACGGTGGAGTTAATACGTAACAGCAAAGAGCTTTTTCAATTAAGGCTACTCCGCGAGGCACGTTCTAACTAACGCTCGACCTGAAAGCTGGATGTACGCGTAATCGGAAAAAGGATCGTTTGTTAACTATCCCGGCGACAAGTAACGATTCAATCGCACCTGTCGATGGAAATGGGTCGTTTTGACGCGCGAGCTTAATTATCGTATATTGAAAAGACTCTTTGTCAGGGTCCAATTAAACTTCGAAGGTTGAATTTAATCTTTGTTCCTCGTTGGCCCACTCGAGCTGCAGATGCAAAGCGAACCAATTATCTAATTATGCAATATTACCTTTTCAAATTCGAAAGAATAAAATGAAACGGTCTGTCGAATCTACAAATCTGACGAAATCTGTGCTCACCAGCACGCTTTTGACGAAGACGCTTAATCGAGTCAAGATGACTGGAGAACAATAGCTATATAGACATTAAAAAAAAGGATTTCACTTTTGAATCGACAGATGAAAAGGACGATGAGGTCCTCGTTGATTCCGCGTTGAAAAGAAAACGAAACGGGAACGCTGCATCGGCGTTTCATAAAAACAAATACTATCACTACGATCAATGAATTAGACGATCAATTGGACAACGCACCCGTCTAACTCGTGATTAACGTGACTCAAGCATCGAACGAAGAGTTTCCCAGTGGATTCTCTGGTAACCTGAACCGCTTCGAGGTTTATTCACGGTGTATTACACAAAGTGCTATCGATTCGAAACACCCACAAGCATCCGTTCACGGTCAAGCGGACGTGTGCGTCCGACATACATAGAAGGACGGAACGCGCGTACGCGTGTAAGAATGTCTCTCGACCTATCCAATTAGAGCAATTTAGGCGAGTGTAAAAAGGGAGCCAGGGTGAACCCTTGCGGTGTAATTTCCGACCACGAAACCTACTCCGCGAGCCGAATTCCGGGATAATTCAGTCTCCACGGTGTAATATCCTCATTCGTTTTTGTGAACATACTAACTGACCGAGTGTAACTCGGGGAAAACTACTGAAATTTTTCCACTGGCCTCGAGGACTGTTCGCATTGACCCCGTCGTTCATAAAACTTTTTTAATAGAAGAAAAAGAGCAGAATTTTTTTTACTGCCAGTCAATGGTTTTACCTGGTTTAAAACCTCGTATCGGGGATAATAAAATTACTTGAGGAAACTCGCGGAATTTTCTAAAACCAATCTCGTTTCAAAGAATTCTCGGACAAATGCTGCGAATCTTTAAAAAATTTATCCGAAACAAAGCCTCTCGTGGGAGCGCCCCCGAGGGGGCGAGACACAATCAGCGTCCTTTCAAGTAATAAGAGCCCGGGAAAAGTCGAGCACGAGTCAAGCTTCGGTTGAAGTATCCGAGAGGAACGCAGATCGATGGTCGAATTTCCGAGGAACGCGAGCGAGTTCGTGAAAACGGTGATGCCATTAACGGGGGCTGCGAGGGTAGACGAGAATCCAGGCGCGTTTCGCAGAACAATGGATCGGGAAAAAGTGAGGGCGACCAGGGAAACGGTGGCGAGATGAATCCGCGTGGTGCGAAGCCTGCGTGTCTCTGCGAATTCCGCTTAAGTCGTTAGCGTGGACGCAAGAACAGAAGACGAGAAAAAACGAGGAACGCGGTTGAACCCGTTTCGGATCCGAAAGAAACGGTATTCCGCGTCGGTTCGGGTCAGAAACGCTTCCGACGACGTCATACCACGCCACTTTCCACCGGTTTCAGCGAGGAAAAACGGGATTCCAAGACGTCGCACTCGGGGGGAAGATTGAACGAGGCGATTAGAGGGACGTTTGTGCTCGCCGGTAATCGATATAGGTACACGGAATTGGAAGATCAAGGTTAGCAACGCACATTCTCTTGGTGAGTGAATCAGGAAAAGATACCGAGGTCCTGGCAGGGTGCCGAATAGATTTCTTAATAGGCGGATTTATCGAGTGGCTTTTCGGTTTGCGCTGAACTCGAAGGAGAGTAAGTATTGGGTGACCCGGAAAGATTTATCGCGTCTAAAGGTGCTTCATGATTCAATATTCATTGCCCTCTAAAATTATTACAAAGAAATAATGTCAGTAGCACCTTTTTATTTTTAAACTGATCGTATCTCGATGAATCGGAAACGTATTCCCACAGTTCTAAATCTATTATAAAATCGGAACGAGAAATCGCAATCGTTTTACTGACAATGCCATAGTCAATATTGATGAGTCACCCCATTCATTACCCATGCATCGATTCGCGATAATGAATAACCTATGCAGCGAGGCGCGATTCACGAACGGAATTTTTCGCAGCGGCAAACTGAATAAACGTCGGAATCACCCGTCGCCTCTCTTTGTGAGTTCCCATTTGTTCGCCGTTCTTACTTACGCGAGCCTCGTCCCGATGCTCGAAACGATCGACCGAGTTCCCTCCCTCGACGTTTAACTTCGGTGTACATTGTTCTCGGGGAAGTCTCGTCAAGTGTATCAATACGGGACGAGTCATCGAGACGCTAGTCATCCGGTGAGTAACTGAGCGGCCAGACATTAATCGACAACCGTGCAGAAGTGGCACGGAGTCATTTCATATTATTGCAGAAACATCAATGCAATACCGGAATAATAGAAACCCACGATATATGATTCATTAAAGCATTTGTACACGTCTTACAAAATACTCTTATGAATCTAATGTGTGTTGTAAAAAAAATTTTACAAAGAAGAGTTCTGAGATCAATGCATGAAGATTAAAACAAAGCAACCCTTGTACTCGTTAACGTTTAAATACTATATGCGGGTCGTCGACCGACGAAAAAACGATTCGTTATACCGGCACTGAAATTAACCATCGGGACGACGCTAACAACTCTCAAAGACCACGGATACACGATGCCTAGTAAAGTTCAGTGTCTACTCGACGGAAGCCGCTTTTTCGTAATATGAATATTTAATCTGCCCTCGGTTCCTCGCAGTTCTCCCTCGTTCGAGAATTTCTCCAGAGAGCAGAAATTTGCAGCGGTGACTTTTACTCTTACAACCGGGATTTCTCGAGTACGGCTTTTGTAAATGTTCCTCGAGCTGAAGACGATTCGTTTGTTACTAAAATTAACGAGTTTCAAGTTTTCACTTGCGGCGAATCTCGAATAAGCATCGTCGGAATTTTGTTTGCCGTTGGATCAACCGAATCTAGATTAAATTTACATTGAACGATTGACGTGGGTGAAATCGCTTTTTAGAAGTCCAATTTATGTAGGTAAAAAATCTGGTATCAGGTTAGTATCTGGTATCTGGTATTAGGTCAGTGAAGTCGACCTATTCCACGCTCGGTGTGAGTGAATCGATATTTTCGAGCACTCCTAAATCCCCAGATTTCTCGACTCGTCATTAACACTCTCGTTCATTACCCAGAATCGTGTCACTCAGTCGTAATTATCAACAATGTTCTCTACTGGCTTATCGAATTACCCTCGTCGCGAATAATTAAATAACCCGCTCCTGAGGTTTCGATCCAACTGTACCTCGAACCGTACGAGGTCCGACGGTCTTTGTACCGATTTCATCTTCTCGATCACGTTTCAACCTTAAAAGAATACGAAATGCCATTGGATACACGAGATTCGCGATGTTATCGAATAGTTTGACTCGTCAAGAATCCACGCGTGGAGCTTGCATTTTTCATCGACGATACTCAATCGCGGTGAAGGTATTTACCAATCGCAGACTTTCGAGAATTTCATTAGACCGACAGCTGGCCGGAAGGTTTCTATTAGCGTTACGAATATCGAGCAATGCGATTGAGAGCGGATCCGTGAGCAGAATTACATTACACCCTCATTTAAAGGGAAATAGCTCCACGTGCGCACAAAGCTTCAAAAACGTTTCTTTGATAAATCGTACATTCTCCAAAAAAATTGAATGAAACTTGTAGTAAAGGTTTTCGATACCGTGTGCCTTAATAGATTTCAACAAACATTCGTGCACGTAACGCAAAAGATTGTGTAACGAGATAGACGGATGTTCAAGGGCAGCGAAACGAATTCATCGGTCACGCAACACGTTGATTATGACACGCGTGATTTCCGGCATCGAAATCGTCCACGTAGTCATCGATGCAGGGCGCGGCCAATTGATATATGCCTTAATTAGCGTCGTTAGGCACGGAATTCGGTTGCCGTTGTTATCGCGTTGACCTCCACTCGCGTTAATTACGAGGACGAATCGATACACGGAATTCGAGTTTTCAATTGACGGCCCTCGTCACTTTTAATTACGGCTAAAAACTTGACAGGCCTTGAACTTCTTTCTAATAATTGCTGGATAAATATGTACTTACGCATAGCTCTCGATACTGATTTACAGGGCAAAAAGTTTTGAACGGTACTCACCTGAAACAGAAATAAAGGAAATTGGTCATAATCTACATGAAAATTGATAGCATCACATGAAATTTTATAAACAAGAAATACTAAAATGTCATATTTAAACAAATAGAATGAGTGACTCAATTACCCCAGATTCTCAAATCTTAATCGACTATTCCAACCCGAAATATTTTTAATCGTTCCCTTTCATACCTCCGAGCTATTATCAGATTGGATAACCGATGAGATAAAGCATTTTTAGTAGACGATCTTTTAATTATTTCGAAAGCTACAAATATCTGGGTCGAGTCGTAATTTAGTTTTACCATTCGCGCGGAAACGGGATCGAATTGATACGGAATATCATGCGTTTAACAAGTTTCGCTCGATCGCTCACCATTACGGATAATCCATTATCCATCGGACGATATCAACACTATCATCAATTCCGTAGCTTGATAAAAATTGTACGAAGCTACTCGAACGTTGTCGATAGCCAACGCGCAAGTCTTTAGTCTGTTGGTTACCGAATAGTGCCGAAACATATTTTATGATCTTCATTAACGTCCGCCCACGGAAGTAATGCGTTATATCGAGCACGTAGCTAATTCGTTTGACACAGTTTTGTCCGCAACGTAGAACGAATAAAAACTTGCGTTACGAGAAGTTGAAGAGAATTATTGGAATATCCTCGCCAAGGTATTAATCGAAAACCGCAGTGAACAATGAAGGCAATCGCAAAGAGTTCTACTTGATCAGTTAATACGTGTGGGATTGCATTAGCGACGTTCGGAACACGATCTAACGGATCAATCGGCTGGGATAAACGTCAAAGGACACGGAAATTCCACGCTAAAGATACATCTAAGCGCATGCACCGAGCGCGTCCTGCGCCTCCCAAGGTTCGAGTTAAGGTCGCGTCTTTAATTAAATCGAGCCAACGGGCGCGGCTTAAAAATAATTAACGCGATTCTATCTCTATGCGATTGCGTTTCCTTCTATCTGCTCTCCTTTCGGCACGCGTGTTTCCTTCGTTCCAATGTTTGTTGCGTTGCGTACGTACATATATTGACAGAGTGGAGGCGTGGCGGCGTGATAACGCGAACCACCAGACTGATAGTCGCGTCGATTCCAATTGACTCCCGAGTGGAAAATTTGCGACAATTTATTGCGGAGGATTGCATCTGACGTACGAATTAATGGATACAACGGGTATGAGCGTCCGAGCCTCGAATATCCGTATTTCGGTAGAGATTTAAGCAGAGAAGTTTTATGGGAGAATTCACGCCGTTAAGTAGTAAAATCCTGGCTTAGTCAGACTTTGCAGACGCTCGAACTATATTTCTACATCGAGCGGGCTTCGTCACGATAATCTTTGACAATTCGTTAGTACATTAATCGCCCTGAAGGATTCGACGATGTCTCCCTTGACATTTGTCTTATCTATAATTTTAAGAGAAATCCTAAATTTGGTAGAAATAATATTTCTGTAAATGTGAAATTGCTTCTTTTATAACACATGCATAAATTGTTGAAAAAAATTAATGCTTGAAATACAAATGAAAATGAATGTATAATCCTCGGTATATTAAGATGTAACATTTTTATTTAATGCATTCTGTATTGGTATATTAGGTCATTCATGTTGGAGGAAACACGATTAAAATAAGTAAGAGAGATTGGGACTGCGAATAATCTAGCTTACTTCCAGTTAACGATAAACGAAGTGATTCAACACTTGTGTTCAAACGTTATGGACAAAGATAAAGGTTTACGAGCAACGCGGCTAATTATTTCGTGCGGAAAGAATTCTGGGATTTATTCAACACCAGAAATTTCAACCGCGTTTCCACGTAGCATTTTTTTTTAATACGTTCCGTAAAAAGCAATTAGCGAATTACGCTTCTGAATCCTACAGAACGACCCACATATCAAGCGATAAAAAACACGTAGTATCCGTTTAACAACATTATAAAAGAGTAGCCATTCTCCTGAGCTACTGAAGTCAGCCAGTTTATCAGTTCATAAAACTTCCTTTAAGAAAAGACAAGTACAAATGCAACATTCATATAAAACTACCGTGATCGGATAATTGCCGCGCTATCGTGGAACGTTGAAGTTCTATTCTTAGCTTCGGATCGAGATAATCAAACTATTCTAGTCTTATATCCACGAAATCGTGGCGACCTCGCGAAGAACGTACAAGTTCTCCAAGTGGAAAATCGATTACTTCGGAGGAAAAAATTCGATTACAGTGACGTATACAGCCGCACCCCTGACTGCTGAAAACGCTACCTCCTTGCCTTCTTCGCGTCCCGTCCTCGAGTAACTTCGTTTCGCGTGGCTAAAGCGCGACTAATAACGAGCCTTTGTTAATAATTATCGCGCTCCTACATACGCCGCTCGGTCGGCGATCGAAGCCTCGCCGACTCTCTGACGACAGTGTAATAATATTTACGTTATTGCGATTACGCGTCGCTTGCTTTAAATGCGAATTAATCTGTTCATTTAATATTCAGTCACAAACCGTCCGATGGAAATGGGAAGGTAAATTGCTTGAAAAAGCGAGACGCGGCGCCGGAAAAGGAATACTCGGTCGAAAGATCGAAGAAACGTCGAACATTTTCACGTGGAAGCAGGCTCCGTGCGCGATCCATTGGACCGTGACATCTTTGTGTTTTCTTATGGAAAGGCGTGTTTCTAATCACGTCACAGCTGAACGGTTTATTTACAATCGACCGGGGAAAAGGGGAAAAAATCGCCGGTTCGTTTCCACCTTTCTCGCGTTACGTAAGGGAAAAGAACGTTGCACGGCCGCGTTATCTCTAATCAAGCCAGTTCACGGACTGGCCGTCCATCAACTCCGTTCAACGGTTTCAAAACGCGGCGCACAGGAATGTTTCGGAAACGCGTGAACGACGGATTTCGAGAAAAAAAAAATAGATACAGAGCCAGCTTTCGCGATTGCGTTCCGCACGTGCTCCCGATATCACGTACCTATGCTTCAGTATGACGAGCGATCAAAAAAATGGAAATTATCCGGAGCATGGCATTTGATGAAAAAGTGGTCGAACTGGAATCGAGAACGCTGCGTGTGACGCGCGAAACGTGATGTAAAACACGCCGTAACTAGGATTAACTTTCCGCTTGGGAGTGTTCCACGTTTGCTTTCTTGTCGATTCACCTGTCGATGGCGTGTCTAACGAATGATGGCAATGTTAATTAGCAAAAAGAGCTTCTAATCAACTCGTACTTCTTATCAACGCGAAATTTTAATCTACTGGATACTGACTGGTTCTTTAAAACTCCTGTTTAAAAGTGTCATAATCTAAACGTGATAAAGATACCAGACATGCAAATGACGCGACGTTAACCAACTTTCTATAGTTCGTTGTCGGAATATCAGACTAAGCAACGTTCGCGAGGGCTGTTAAAAATGACCAGATTGTCCTAGTGCGATAACTCGTCTAACTGTACCGCGAGGAGGTCCGACTAGAAATCGTTCGGTCGAACGACGAGCACTGAGCCTTCCGCGTGCTGTGAACCGGCCGAAAAAAAGAAGTGGGGCGCCTTTATGGCAGCGGTAATTATCAATCTTGACAGGCATAGATAGCAGCATCGCGAACAAATGTCGGGGAGAACTATAGCAAGCAGGGACGGGGTCAGCGATGAATACAAATGATAACGCTCTAACAAGGAGTACAGGGAAAAATGTGTTGTGTGACTTCCATATGAAACCTCGCTCTCAAGTTTAGAATCGCTTCGAATAAAGATTCACCTACGTGAATTATCGATCGCAAAAACTCAATATTTTACAATACAACCATTGTACAAAATCTAAAATATACAACAAAAATTCTGAACCAAACGAAGGTAATTAACATTCAGAAGAAATGGTCGTGGGTTCAAGAAGGAAGCGAAAGTTATTCATGATACATCGGCATCTGGTATTGACCAGAAACCCTTCATCAACGTAATGAAGTGGCAAGAATTATGGAGGAACGAAGTACCCTTCGGCTGCTGCAATACTTTCATTAAACAGAGAGATGGGAACCGAACGAGATTTTCTTATTCATGACAAACCAGTAGTGAGTCTTGGCACAAGAAGGCACTAAGGATTATGAATCAAGATGGATGCAATTTAACGAGCTTTTGATGCAGAAACGTGAGTTCAATGAGAGCAATTCGTCGTTCTAATTGAAACATTACGAATACTAGGAAAGTAATGTCCTTCGAAGAAGCCGATTATTTGATTACGAAAATAGACTTACATGTATATAGCGAATGAGGGTTTATACATATGTAGAAAATGAGTTTATGTGACAAATAAATGTTATTTGCGAAGCGATAACAAAATTTATTCGTAATATGTACTCCGACAACAAAGAGTTAAGTTAGGAATAGTGAGTCAGAGAACAAATAAGTAAACAATATGTGATAAAGCACGCAGAGTGTTTTGAAGTGTTTGGACAAGATAAAAAATTCTCGTTCTCGTTCAAAACACTGTTTCCTTAACCTGAAGCCTATTCTCTATTCAGAAAGAATCGATTAAAGATACCTTGATTTCTCTATACCCACTTGCAATCGCACAATCGTAAAATCTATTCCAACAACCGTGTAGGACGAACTGAAACACCAAGAACAACAGTTGCATCGAGAACCTGACGGAAGCAACTTCGTCATTTAATCAAAGCTGCCTACGTACCAAGAACATCGTGCAATTTGTTCGCGTTTCGACCGTGAACACGCCAATCCTATGTACATTATTCTTATGGAAGAAACGGTGGAACTACATCAACCGGACTAGTTCCATCGAACTGGAGTTAATAAAAATCATGAAACATGAGTTCAAACAATCCTTAAACTCTGACCTAGTGCAAAGTAGCTTCACGAGATATCCAAATATTTTGCAGTACGATCGAAAGAGGATTTCTCGAGTGAAGATTATTAAATTTCGAGTTTCTATTAAAATACTCGGATAATTGTTCACCGAAACCAAATATTTGATTGGAATCGTAGCTCTAGCGTGAAGTGGAGACTCACATAGCCAGACGTTGCCACGAGGTGCTGTGTGCAGCAGGTTCAGGTGCAAGTTGAAGTCAAGACCGGCGAGGTCTTGGCGCAGGTGGGTGCTGTCCATGATCAGTGCCCTTTCCGGCAGAAGGAAGAGGTGGTCGCTCCCCTCAGCGGGCCCCAGGGTTCGCGGCACGCCGAGCCCAAGAGGCCCAGAACGGGCCGTCAACATTCTATCCTCGCGATCCTCGTAATCCGCGTTATCATTGCGCAACGGCGCATCCTCCGACCCGATCCCCGACACGCTGACTATCGTCGCCGATCGCTCACGCTAGAGACTGGTCAACCACCCCCGACTCCTTCCTTTCAATAGCTTTCCCTCGCTCGATTCTCAACCGTGCGTTAATTATGGAAATTGCTTTGAACTTCAGTAGATAAGCAACAGCGAACACTGTATTCCAATCAGTGGTTTGCAGAATTCACAGAGTTCGGTGAACAACTGAGATGAGTTTCCAATGTCAACAGAATTCGAAAAGAAAAATGTTGATGCAGTATTCGTGCCTCGGATGCTGGAAGGGGGGTGACAGTAGTCAGGCACCGAGTTCAGATAAAGGGAATGGATCCGCATTCGTGGAGTCTCAGACTACCGATTCACGCAGCTGGGTTCAGCGACAGTTCCGTAAATATTTACACGGGGAAACGAAGTGGAATTCGTCGCGTAGACGAGAATCCCCGGAGCGAAGAAAGCAGCCACGCGAGTGTGCTTATACCGAGCCTCTCCTCTTCGCCGCGTTCCTCTTCTCTTTCATCGCGTCCGGCGCGAGCTAGCTTCGCGGTCCGATTAATCTTCACTGCTAATTACCGACGAGCACTTTTGTCGATCGTTAATTGCGGATCGTCTGGGCTCGCGATTCGCGTGCCGGTCTCAACATGTATCCTCTGCTCCCGGCGTACAAGTACAAGCCACGCTTTATTTGTCCTCGCTCGGTCGTGTATTACTTCACTCGCTCCGTTCCTCTCGCATTGTACGCCCGGCGCGTATCTCCGATCGGCACGATCTCTCGGTTGGTCACTCAACTCCGGTTCGAGCGAGAGGAGGAATCGTCGTCTACGCGGGCTCAGGCACGAATCGACCACGCGTACACGAGTGTCCTCATTGAGATCATTTATACGCGGGTAGCTTCGTTAAGAAGAAGCCTCGAACAGGCTGGGAAAACCACTTGTCAGGCGTTCCGTCGTTAAACACAACGTCGCGAACCTTGTTCGAGACGTTCAAAGACACAGCCTTCTCAATAACGTATTCTCTGTACGTTGACTATTTACTAACAGCCGTTCGCGCACGAGCTATTGATCCTCCATAAAAGAGAATAATTAATTGAATAATGAATTAACACTCTCGGACCGTAAGGACACTCGTAAACACGTGCCTCTCAAGGCAGCTCGAGGCCACCGTAAAACAATTGTATTCAATCAAAACGCTTCCACTCGCAAGCGAGGATCGCATGAGACTCCCGCACACTGCTATCAATCGAACAGACTCGACGATCGGGCGATCGCCGCACAATGGTGGCGCGTCGTCGGAGAAACGCGAGACGTGACTCGCTGTCAAAGCGGACAGCTGGAGCTGACAGCCGGGGAGTGACTCGTGGCAACGAGCGGGTATCGAGCGTAACGCGATCCTCTGCGCGTGGCGGTCAGCGTTCGACTGAATGACGCCGCGACGCCCGCGACGCGGTCCGCGAGCGAGCGACGCCGAGGGGCGTCGGAAATTGCCGAGCAAATTCAACGGACGCACGGTTCGCCCCAACACGTACTTACGTATCTACGTACGTACATACATATATACATGTATGTGTGTGTGTGTGTTTGTATGTACATACGTAATGTACTTACGTACATGAATTTTTCGTTCGCTTCACGGCGAGATTGAAAAATAGAGACACCCGATACGCAATGTAATTCCATTTTTTGTAGCTTTAAAACCACGCTGGACAATCGTAATTGCTGGTACTCGTTATTTTACACCTCCGTTCTTTTGGTAAAATTACGCGCAATTAAATTTCATCGGTTCGTTTGACTTTCAAGTAATTATACCGTGATGAAAATGTTTGGACAAATGCGAAAGGAGATAAAACGGGATTCTACTCTGTTCCGCAGCAATTCCCGCTAATGCGCCTATGCGTCTGACCGCGACTGTCTGGATCTACTCGCCCCCGCAAGCCTAGCTGAAACGAACGAGCGTTTGCGATGGAACAGAAAAATATAGTCAGAGTGTACACGTTCCTCTATCCGACATATAAAGAGAAAAACAAAACCGAATGGGATTCGAAAAGGATTTCTTTTATTAGCTGAACCCGGCTGCTGTATCGATCGACCAGTATCAATAATAATTGACAGAACTTCTGCTATATTTTTTTAAACATATGATTGTGTGTTCCTCGTCACGCAACCATTTGTCGTCTACCTATTCCCGTTTTCCTTCGATAAGTCGACAGAACCTGATTCTACCGGGTTTGTTTTAAAATACGGTGCTAACTCGTGTTTGAAGCTCAGATTCGACGGCTTTCCAATCGTTAGACACGCGTAATCTTATTACCTCGCGTGATTGTCTGCTTTAACAGAGCCACGGTCTAAGGACTTAACGGTGTCGTAAAAAAAATGATTGTAACATTATTCTACGCAAGGATAAATGGCAATTACTTAAGGATAGAGTTACAGTTAAACGGTAATTACACTCGTTTGCCGCATCGCGATGCTCAACAGCGGAGGAAGCGATCTTTAAGTTGCGGCCATTAATGCGCGATTTAGTACGCGTATACAATCAACTGAATACATATTTATAAAGCAACGGACGTAGATCTGGAAATACTGCAAGCTCACTGATTCGGCAAAAAAAATATGAGATTATAATAGAATTCTTTCTCACGTTGCACACAGCCAACGGGATCGTTGAACAGAGAAACTTTTGTACAATTTAGTTTATATATATATCGTATACGAGCCGTTCTAATCGCATGAAAAATGTTGGACAAACAGATTAATTAAATTCTAGTTACTTATCAAGAGCCGAGACACACTTTCACTTTGCTAGCATAAATCGTGTCCCAACTTGCGCCGCGCTAAATATTTCACGGTCTTTTTATCGCGTCCTTTATCGAACAGCGACGATCGATCGATCTAGTCAGACCACGATATCCTCGGAGGTGAAACGGCTCGCGGCGTGTAAAACGCAGCGCGAAACACGTTAGAAGATTGCTTGAACGCGAGGATATTCGGATGGAACGGACGAACGCGGTTGGCAATTTACAAGAAGCTCAGTTTTATAGCCGATAAACGTTTTAGGAAGCTGCAACGGAGGAGCGACGATTCTGAGAAGCGGATTACGGAGCCGTCTCGATGTCAGTGGGACAATCGTTTTTGGTCCAATGCGAACAATTTCGATGCTCCCAGAACCATTATCCTAGATTCGGTGCTGAGAACTCTTTGTCTGAATTAAACAGGCATCGTGTTTTGTCCCGCGATTAAAAATGAAATTTCTGGGTAAAGAGGATGAACGAGACGGAGTTGGAAACGCTGGGGAAGCGTATTGAAAATTGTATTGTGTATCCAGTCCCCAATCTCCTGCCTCGGCTAAATCGTATTACAACGTTGAAGTAGTTACCTACTCGAGAAGAGTGGTCTACCGCTACGAGTTCTCAGTATCAAATTCGATCAAGTTCGATTAAGTCTCTCGCGAGCCGGCTACAGTTTCCTTACGTAAGTGACTCCGAATTCTCGGTAAATCTGAGGCTGTTTAAAGTCCGAGAATAGCTACGTTCAAAACGCGAGATGCGAAACAATTCGAGTTCGCCGTTCTCCCACAGAGGAAGTCAGTAGGAAAAAGAAGTTTCGAGGCGAAGAAGTCAAACCGCTGTTACAACTTCACGATCGAGCGAGGTTCCATCGGTTCGTATACTGTTACACGCGCGGTGGAGGCGCTTCTTGCGGCTTGATCTTCCGCGTGCGTGCCTCGTGTACGAAGTCCCTTGAAATAGCGATCGATGCCCCTTTACGGGGACTAATATGCCAACTCCGGCAGTCGACCCGTGTCCGATGCTCCCCGGCCTCGTACATGGAGCGATCGAACCAGACACACGGGCTGCCGACGACTCACTGATTGACAGAGATCTTCCTTCGTTCTTGCTTACGGTATCCTGTCAGGCTCGCTCGGCTACAACGAGTCGGCGTTCGAATCTCTTCTGTCGCGATCGTGCCAGATCATTTTTTAACTTGTCACGAATTTCAATCATTTGTTCGACCGCGACGTTCAATTCCCATAATGCGATCCGACAGGTAAGTATCCTTAAAGCGATTTCGATTATTAACGATGCCCAAGAGGTTCGATTGATTTTAAGCACCTGGATAAACCGTGAGATCTCCAAAGCTTGATGTTTGATACCAATGACGATCTTAATGACTTCGAATTATAATACTAAAATAACTTTAAACACAGATCTCTTTATTTCATCAGTTTATTTCAAGCGACCCGAATAATGCTAAAAGATTTCGTCTCGGAAATTTTGCAACTGCAGAAACGTGATCGTCCTGAAACCGAGAAGAGAGCGCGCGGTCTAGATAAAGGATCGCACGCGAAGGATTAAATCATCGTTAAATCTGAGCGCCACGCGTGTCCCCGTTACTTTTCCAGTATATATACGATATTACGGCATTGTGATGCTCGATACGCGATCAGCCAGAAAAGGGACGCGGGATATACGTGACGGCAATCTGGGAGACACCGGAGCCAAAAGTAGCCTCGTGTACCGTTCGGATTAGTTACCATCCTTCTTACGAGCGTGTCTGGCGCAAAAATTCATCTCGCTTGGCAGGACGCAAAAACGTACCGGCCTATCTTTTCGGTGAGTCGTGCACCATCGTCCGACTGCCGCGTGTGGCACGCCACAAAAAGACCCGACGAAGCCGAAGAAAAACGTTCCCTTCCGCATCGCGCGCTGGTCGAAAGAGGTCCAACGAAAATTACATCACCCAGCTTTCTCCTAGCGAACGATTCGCTTAACGGCCCGACTCCCATTCGTAACCGCGAGCGTTTTAATAATAACGATCGCGTTTTCTACTGGAGGATGTGTCACAACGCGCTGCCGCCGTCTAGTACGCTTTCCACGGGAATCTCGCAATCCGGTTGTTCGCGTCGCGATACAGTTTGAAAACCGTGAAAACATCCCGAGTCCCGGGACGCTGTGGTAATCTGCGTCCATTCATATTAATATCTCAGCCGCAATTAAGCACGCCTCACGTTTACAACGTTCGCGGTTCCCTTCGTGAACAACCTCCGAAGCGTACCTTTTCCAAAGCACGCGATTCCAATTAAAGTTGACGGGAAAATAATTCGAATAAAAACGAGATCCGTGCAGATGCCACGAAGTGAAAGCGAGCGCGGCGTTCTTTTCGCGCGGCAACGCTGATATGTAATCGCCGATGCGATTATTCGCTAGGCGAAACAGTAAGTCGTCCGTTTTTTCCAGGTACCGTGATAAATGAGCGAGTTAAGACCTCGACTTGAATGATTTATCAGAGCCGGGAGTACTTAATCCACGCTTTCCGGTACTAATCGACGCGCACCGTCGAGGATTTCCGTGTGAATCATCAAGACGCAACGAGGATTCGAAAAGGAGCAGGAAGAAGGAAGCACGACCTAGTTTTATCGACAACACCGGCCCATTTATCTTCAGATGATCGCGAGAACCGACCGAATTGGCACAACTCGATGCTCCACAAACGGTCGTCGCTGTAGCGAGTCCATGCCGCTAATCGGGATTACAGGGAGTTAAGTCAAACGTTGTCTCGAGTTATCCGATGCTCGCACGATCGATCGATTCACCAGAGTCAAGCGCAAAATTGCAGAAATTAAGTAAAAGGAATGCAATTAAATTTCTTTTACACGCATATCGATAATATGCTTAGTCCTCATAATTGCATTCCCTATTTGATTTTTACGAGACAATTTTTTATATTTCTGTCCGGGAGAATTACGAGCAGGTTCCAGGAAGGCGAAAACTATGAAAATAATTCTGTACAGATGATGATCGTAGTTTATAGGCAATAACTTCGTTCCGCTGTAGTAAGTATCTCGACCGACGAAGGCAGAAAGGAACCCATGACCAGCAAAGAACTACTGCACTTTCTTTTCTTCCTTCTACCCATATTTCCATGTCCTATCCCCTTATTCTTGCCAGCTCGAAAAGTTCTGCGAAACGATTTCTTGCATCTCTGCAAATTAAATGATCGGCCGGCGGTGATCGTAGAAAGTAGAGCGCGGCCAGGACCAAAGAAAAACGATCTACCGCGGAGAACGAATAGTTGGAGAGAGTCGAGAGAGATCGCGGAGAACGGATAAAATGGTGGAAGTTGCCGGATGTGAATAACGCGGTGACAATGAATTGGAAGACTCGGGGTGAGAAGTCTTCGGCGAATGTACCACGGCTTCCGACTTCCGCTCACGATCGAAGGACACGCCCTTCTGCCCTTTCTATTGCTTTACACTGATTGGAAGATACGAACGAGGATCTTTTTGACGGTAGATAAGAAACGGAATCGACGGTCACGTGCGCGAAACTTTTCACCGCTTCGATGCAAGGTAATTCGACGCGACGGATGAAAACGCAGAGAATTTAAATGAATCCGTGGAAAGACCAAGGACAAAATAATAAAAGAGCTTGAAGCTACGACGATCTAGCTTACGAACGAGCGTTTCTTGCCCGTTTGCCAAATTCGCTTGACCTCACCAATACAGCAATTCAAATCCTTGGTTTTACAACATTAACATTTACGTTCAAGAGGATATCCTGGTTCAACGTACGAGAAACCTGCAGTGTGATGTAATTCATTTTGTAACTGAGATTATTTCTCTCCCAGTTTAATCTCATCGGATTTGTTTCTTCGTTGCACAAAAATTCGGTTGCCCATTTCCTTCTTAGAAATCCTAAGAGGGTATATATACTCGGGGAGAGAACAATCCCCTCGTGAATGCGAGAAATTAATCCACGGTGCTGCCGCGCCTCATCCGATCAACGTATCTCGTTACTCTTTTCGAAAGTCGAATCGTTGGTTAATTTTATTTAACGATTATCGTCGTGAGAATAAATAAATGGAAAATTGCTCGCCGCAAACGGTAGCTGAAATTACCTCGATAAATAATCTAAGAGAATCTTCAACTTCAATCAGAAGCGATAAACTTTCGTTTCTCATGTTCCATTGTTGTACTCGAAAATGACTAAATTATGCTTTTTATTATGCTATTACCGCGACAATCGTCGACGAGATGAGCAGATAAAATGACAAAGTGGCGAATGATCGAGCCTGCTTTGTAATCCATCAAGACGCCAACATCGCGTAGAGATCCTCGTTTTAACATTGTTTCCCGAAGGCCCTTTTAATTCTTCACCAGGCTTGGTTCCTCTTCTTCCCTTCGCATGGGGATTAAAAGATTGAACGAAGGTGACGCGAATGGACGTTAGTTCCATCTTCTTGATTAAATTGCCCCCGTTGCACGTACACTCCCTTTTTGTGCTCCCGCTTTTATCGTAGCAATGTCCCTGTACTCATTTACGTATTTTCGTCACAAACACTGTCGCATTACCCACTCCAAGGTAATTTAACATTTTTCACCCCATTTTCAAACGATTCAACTAATAAACAAATTATCTCTGTTGATTGACTGAAATCTCCGAAGACTTATCATCCCGGATGCACGCGAGCCGAATTAAATTAAAAACCGCAAACATTCCGCGCAGAATGTAGGCGTGACCGAGGCTGGCTACCATTTTTAGGCTTTCACCGAGTAACAAGTCTTTTAGATAACAGTTCCTCCGTGTAATTACACCGCAGTGTAGTGTACAAAGAGCGCTCACATCGAGCGGCCGCGAGTTACCTTGCGAGACACGAATTTCTCATTACGCGTGTTAAACAATTATCATTCTCGAGCCTCGGAAATCGGATCGTCCATAGAGGAGACATGCGTTCAGACTGAGATGCCGCGATTAGTTGTTAATTACAAGCTAATCGAGAGGATTTCACGAGTTCGTTGATCAATCGCTGACCGTATCTCCGGTTCGTTAGCGCAGCTCGAGCGAACTCCCATCAAGTTCGTGCGGAAGGGATAAATAAAAAGGGACGTGTGTACACGTGGCGGACGGCTGTGACCCAGATGATGGGTTCGATCGATCGACGGCATCCTTTGGCTCTCCTTTAATGCTGACGATAGTGGATAGGAAAGAAGATGAAAAAAGGGAATCGAAAAACGTGACCGCTGCTTCGATTCACCCTTGCCTGATGCAATTATCGTGGAAATATGCAGATTAATAGTGCCCCCAACGAGTCAATTATTATAATTACTGCATGTATTATTTAAATCGAATCGTATCAAACGTATAATGAGGAAACAAGTACTTCCAAATTGGTCATTTGCATCAATTTGGCTTGGCATCACGATTTTTGTTCATTCAAGTGCAATCATATAAAAAATATTACTTATTAATTGGTCACATGCCTTAACTTAAACGGTAAGCAAAATCTCGTAACGAACGGATCGTTGGGAAGAAAAAGAGAAAGAGTGAAAGCTGATAACTATAGATAGAATATGAACGTCCATACGTGGTCGGTCAGGAGTTGTTCGAAAAGAAGAGAGACAAGGGGGCACGACTCGATCTCCAGGCGAGATGTCTCGAGCGTATACAGACAAAACGGAGACACTCTCGCCTCGCGTTTGCATTTCAACACGTGACAAAGACACGCGATTCCCCGGCCACACTTTCCTCTGCTTTCGTGCGTCTCGAGGCTCGAACTCGATTGCCTCGCTGCGGGTTAATTAGCGCCACGTGTCTCCGTTTCGTCCAATAACCGTCACGCCACACGCCGTTTCACCGCTCAAGAAATTTTTGCCTTTAAGGTTGTCGAATCTCGAAAGTTGATATTTTTCAAATTGCTACTTCGCAGATTATCTCGAAGTAACTATGATATATTTAATATAATAACCAATCGTGAATGTCCAATAAAACTCGTTTTAGTTATGAACAACTGAACTTTAATATTTGAGGAATACCCATGCTGCTTGATGACGTATCATTTCTCTAAGTACACGGAAATTGGACGCTGGTAAACGGATTAAGGTTGACAAGCGACCGTGTATGTACGCGGCTACTCAAAGCTACATTCCAGTTCAGGTCTTACACGCGGTGGGCTTCCCATCAACCACTTCACCGGGTCAAAGCACACGGTGCGTCATTGTTAGACGGAAGGATGCGTGTGTCTTCGAGTCTCCAGTTACGTACGAAAGCATATACACAATAGTTTCGCCTCAATATTCCAGAATTTAATACCTACTTCCTGCAAGCACTCGCTCGAATTCAAGTGGATTTTCCCAGCTACTGATCAGGCATTTTTATTTAGTACGCATTTCCTTCCTGCGTATTCGACTTCGCGTAGATCTCCTCAGAAACTGATCAGACATTTTTATGCAATACATTCGCACAACTGGAAGTAGATTTACCCCGTTACTGATCAGACACGTGAACATCGTTCCTACGAATAGTCACGTATTTTTTTATTTTCACGGGTGAAGAAAGGTCCGTCTCTCGAGACAATGGGATCGTACAGCAACGATAAAATAAATAAAACGGAGAGAATGTCTTTCGGCACGTATTAAAGATTCAATACTAGACAGGGTAAGACAGGGTCTGTACAAGTGGACAGAACGAGTAAAGTCGAAGAAGCGTGACAATAACTGACATAGGATTAGCATACATTTTCCGGACGCGAGCGCACGTCGCCGATTTCCCGTTTCGTGAGCGTCGATGCGCGTCGGATTCTATTAAAAGTAACGCGCGATTCTCCTGACATTCGAAGGAGCGCAGAGGCGTTTCTGTAACCCCGCGGCATCCGTGACACCGTTTTCCTAAGCGAATCTTCATCCACGATCCCGTTAAACGATTGGTACATTTTCCAATTCAAATCTATCGGGCATTAAACACGATAGCGAAGGTAAATCGACATGCAAATATCGCAACGTCTCGGAAAAGTCGAACAATTGCCCGGTTCAAGATAGAACGGCTCGTATCGACGCATACTAACTAATATCATACTTTAAAATGAACCTTAACGAGAATTTCGCGTGTTATTCAAGGGCTTGGATCGATTTTATGTGCTCAACCCTCTCCGCACGCGAACTCATGTATATTCAGGCCCGATTCTGAAGTTCTTAATCCTTGAAGTCAAACGCCTGAAACTTTCCTCGATAGAGATCGGGACGTTTTTCATCCAAGTTCAACAGCGAAATTCTGTTTTGTTAACGATCTTGATTGGCTGCACCGGGTTGGCAACGCGAAGAGGATGGACGGACGTAAATTGTGACCCGACTCGAGCGTGCGAACTCGGATTTCAGCGTCCAAGGGATACACACAGGTGTCGGTTGCTTTATCGACTTCCTGGCTGCACCTGTGTACTCCTCTCTTCGCTGTGACGTAGCGGTATGTTAATTCCCATCTTTCTATCTGGGCTGGGCTCTCGCGACTACGAACAGAGACAGGCTAATCGGAAGCAATTAGGAGCGCGATTGTAAATTACATCCTCGATCACCTCGAACGTCCAGGAGGAAGCAACGACCCACTTTTAAGTACGTTTCCATGTTAACTGTGTCTATTGTATTATCACTACCTTAGCTCGATATACTCGAGATACGTGCGTAGATAGATTAGAAAATATATGTTATACATTCGCAGACGTCTTTTTATTTCGCGTTACCACTGATAAAAACGTTACTTTCGATCTCTTAAAAACGGAACACGACCCAAATGAAAATGTCAGAAAAAGATATCGAGCAATAGTTATAAATAGTGGTATCCAAAATAAGGCAACACACCATAAATTAGCAATATATGCATCATCTGACAAAGATTCGTTTGGTGCGCGTAGATCGCGGCGCAATATCGTGAATAATGGATCGCGTCTGATATGGGTGTCACCTCGCCAGTGGCGAGAATCGATGTTTTCTGCTACCTCGGGTCGACAATAAATAACCAGCGTCCGATTATACGGATCGGCCGCGAGGCCCGAGACTCAATTAGAGATCATCGTGCCGATCCATAGCAAATTGCTATCAACCACTCCGTCAAATTA